TGGTCGCCGGTGGAATGAAAGCGGCCTTACTGTACTTCCCCGCGCGTTCTCGTGTGCTACTCTAATTGAGTTGCGGAACCCAGCAGAACAGAGCCGGATGCTCTTAAGGGATAAGGCATCCTAGCATCAGCGTATGACAACCAAAAAATGTATAGTTACAACCTTACCACGATCAATTTTGGTGGTAATTGGTCATCAAACTGGCTCTACTAAATGCGCTACGCCTATTTCATGAATTAGTGCACGATTGAATTGGCCCGTTAGAAGGAGTTAGTAAAGCGGGTTTTCTGCACCGTAGCTCCTACAATTTTGTTCGATTCGAATTGCGACACTGTTGTTTTGACCTCAAGATACTATTATGTACTTTTGGGCTATTTCAGAGGATATACGAAGAGACGCATCCGCACAGTCCGATTCCGGTACTGATCAACGACGTCTTCTTCGCCACACATGCCCTCTTCGCATGTATCGTGACGGCCGCGCAGTGTTTTATCTATGAGGTAAGGCTCATATCAGCTGAATTCTAGTACTAAAACAACTTAGACTCTTTTAGCGTGGTAATCAACGGGTCTCTTATATCTGCATGTCCATAACAATCTTCATGATATTGGCCGCCACTGTGTCTGGTGTGGTCACTTCTTTCGGTATCCTTAACATGCTGCAGTTCGTCACCGGTTTATCGTACATTAAAATGGCTGTCACTTTATTCAAATACATACCACAGGTAAGCCAAAGAAAACCAGGTGCTGTTTGATGTTCAAACGAAGGCTCTAGAGAACGTCAAAGGTTCCAAAAAATATCAGGTCAAAATTACGTATCTACGACTCACTTACGGGAAACCAGTTTCACATCACAATAATAAAGTAAATCAAAGCCCGTGGGCGAACCGTGGGCCCGAAACGGGTCCATGTCTGACCTATCAATAATAGCTTCTTTTGCACTATCGCGAATAAGCAAGCTCACCCGCAAACCATGCCATGAGTGTGAGCACATCGCTCTACTGCAGAAAGAAATATTCGCCTCGTAAACGCTGTTGCATCCTACTATAT